AGCACCAATCCACTTGCAGTGACTGTCAAGGGCTGAAAAGGGTTTTACAAGATGTGAGACAAGGAATCGAAGGTTCATCCTGGACACCTTACAACTTAGACCAACGAGAAGATCTCCTGTATGACTTCAACCCGGCCCAGGAGAATATCTTGCTTTGGAAAGCGCATATCATGCGCTCAATAAACCTGGAGAAGCCGAAAAAAGATGCAATGAAGTTACCACATGCGGAGTCCGCTATTCTGATTATGGACTGGGCAATGAAGTTTCTCCAAATGAAATATCGTGAGAAACAATCCGCCTGGTTTGGAAAGCGTGAGATAAGTTGGCATATATCCACCCCCATATCTAAGAATGCCACCTCTGGAAAACAGACGTCGTACGCTCATANCGAATGATAAACGCTATGAAAATGGTAAGGATAAATACTTCTTCAACTTCCCTTCCAAGAAAGAAAAGAAAAAAGAGTGGATTATCGCTATAAAACGAGATCCTGGGCCGCTATTCAAGGTAAGTTAGTACAATATAGTCTCAGCGATGACTACTACACACGTGTAGTTGTGATTCCGCTGTTAAACAGAAAAATCGCGAGTTATTCTTTTTTCCTTGGTTTGATTATTATGGAATTAGAAATTGCGATTGATTTTATGTATATTGGGGCTGAAATATGTAGTAATTTCGACAAAAAGTAAAAAACATACCAACCACACGTGGACCGGTCTATTTGTTTATATTATGGCAACTCGCGGGAAAATTTTCTCTGATTGTCTGAAGTTTCTGAGTACTGTTTCTGTTGCTGTGTTAAATACTGTTTATAGATAGTTATTTTTGCTCTTTTTTAGATAAAGAAAAATTCGACACTGGTATGTTCTGATCATTTCAAGCCGGGTGACATTGAATACACGTTGACAGGAAGGGTTCGACTGAAGCAAGGAGCTGTCCCGTCGATTTTTAAATGGACTAAAGAACATGAAGGACGTCCAGATAATAGCCTGCAAAAGTTTAAAAAGCAAAAGATAGAAGTGGAATCACTACCAAGTGCAGCAGGAGATATAACAGAAATGGAACAAGGAATAGCCGATAGAACCGATGCTGCAATGGAGACTGACTCACCTTACAACACAACAAACCCTGAAACAAATGCCGAAGTTAGCACTGAAATAAATGGTGAAGTTAGCACTGAAACTAATGCCGAAATAAACACTGAAGCCGAGTCAGTCACGACTGCATTAAAAGAAGAACTTGCGTCAACACAAAGAAAAGTAAAGGAACTTGAACTTCAGATAGCTACTCTTTTGTTAACTTCTTTTGGTTCTGAAAGAATTACTGGAAGTCCAGAATTGACAAGGTTTTACACTGGCTTTCATTCAAAGGAAAAACTTGATAGTTTTTATCGATGGGTAGAACCGTATGCAACTAAGATGACCAAATGGTCTCAAATACAAAGAGCTAGAGGTAGGCAGAACTTCAAACGTAGAAATAGTTATGGCAGCTTTTCTTTGTCTCTTTATGATCAGCTAATTTTATTCCTGATAAGACTTAGACTTGGCCTAGCTGAAACAGACCTTGCAGTTAGATTTAATATCACTAAACCCACAGTCAGTAGAATTATAATAACATGGGCAAATTTTCTTTATATCCTTCTTGGTCAGTTGCCAATTTGGCCAACAAAAGTTCAAATTCAGAATAGTATGCCAGAGTGTTTTAAGAGTACATACCCCAAAACAAGAGTAATTCTTGATTGTACAGAGATTAAGGTACAGAGACCTAGCTCAAAGGTTCTTAATTCAGAATTTTATTCTTCATATAAATCCCATACTACTTATAAATGTTTAATTGGGATCGCACCCCATGGCCCTGTGACATTTGTCAGTTCTCTTTACCAAGGTAGCATATCTGACAAAGAAATTACCCGAAGCAGTGGTATATTATCATTAATTGAGGAAGGAGATGAGGTCATGGTAGATAAAGGTTTTTTAATTCAGGATTTATTACAATGTAAAAAGGCTACAGTCACAATCCCCCCTTTTCTTTCTAAAACCAAATCAATGCAATTCAGTACAAAGCAAGTTTCTGAGACTCAACAGATTGCACGATTGCGAATTCATGTTGAACGTGCCATAAGAAGAGTTAAAGAGTACCAAATTTTTGACAAAGTCCTTCCCTTATCACTAGCTGGTTCTATTAATCAAATCTGGTGTGTTTGTTGTCTGATGACAAATCTTAGAGGGGCATTATTTTAATGCTTTTAACAATATATAAATGATACAATGCAATATTTAAAATTCATGAACACAATGTTCAGTATATATTATGATGAGACATGTCATCATTTTAAAAAAATGGACTGATTAAGTTTTGTTAAGTTTTGACAAAATGTGGAAGTAAATATTGAAAATAGAAATGATCAAGTTTGCTTTTCATTTCTGCACAAAATTCATTGTCAAACTCAATATGTTCCAGGTGATAATCTTGTTTACAGTAAACATAAAAATCAGCCCATGGGGCCCCACTAAGTAACATCTGACCCATTACTTGGTAATAGTAGGAGTGGGTCTTCTTAAGTCTATAAATCCCATTCACACGTTTAAGATAATTTAAGTCAGTTATTGAATCTTTAATGGGACACTTTATTTCAAGTAGTCCCCAAGAGTCTGCTTCACTTGGATCATAAACTCTTCTGTCTGGGGAAGTGGCTAGATATGGGCAGGAGGGGTTTATCACAATACCTGAAGGAAAAACATTGCAGTCTCTAGTGTCAGCATATGCACTTGCAGCTTCTTCTTCTGTATTTATGCCATGAAGCATTGCCTCTGTTTGCTTTGTTTTTCTTAACAGTCTTTCTGCAAGGGACTCAAAGTCTTTTTTTCTGCTGCATACATCTTTAAATTTACTGGATGAAAGCCGTTTGGCTTTCAGGTCAAACCACTTGCTTGTATCACACTGTTCTCTGGTCTCTGGGCTGATAGAGACTCTGATATGAGCGACGAAAGTGATGGAGATGTTTCAGAGTACAATGAAAGTATTTCGAGCTCGGAGGATGAAGATGAAAGCGGGGAAGAAGTCGAAGAGATCGACGAACTCGAAAGCGAGAATGAAAATAACGAAGATAGTGAAAGTGAGGAGGACAATGTCGCAGCTAACAGGCACCAAGGAAGAGGAGGAAATAGACGTGGTCGTGGTGGAGGAAGAGGAGCCCGTGGTGGAGCAAGAGGCGCTCGCGGGGCAGCAAGAGGTGCTCGTGGGGCAGCAAGAGGCGCTCGTGGGGCAGCAAGAGGCGCTTGTGTTCGATATGCACGTGGCGCACGTCCTGGTAATCCAGCTGAACAAGCAGCCCTTGAAGCACAATGGGCTTCAGTTGATGGGGAGCCCAATATTCCTCCTTTCACCGGAACTCCAGGAATAAAAGTGCCGCTTCCAAACAATCCTTCAACAGGTGACTTTTTGAATTTATTTCTCACTGATGATTTTTTTGATATGCTTGTTGAACAAACAAACTTGTATGCTGCACAATACAAAAGAAACAATCCCAATTTACCACCACATAGCCGTGCCAATGAGTGGTTTGATACAAACAGGGCAGAAATGAAACAGTTTGTTGCCCTTTCACTATTGATGGGAATTGTCAGAAAGCCAGAAATATCACATTATTGGAGTACAAATCCTCTCCTCAAAGGATCCATTTTCAATAGTGTTATGCCTAGAAATAGGTACCAGTCCATTCTTCAGTTCCTTCACTTTGCTGACAACAGCCAGTTTGATCCAAATGACCCTGACCGTGATCGACTGTACAAAGTCAGGCCCGTTGTTGATTACTTGGTAAACAAATTCAAGAATGTTTATGTTCCTGAGGATCACATATCCATTGATGAGGAACTCCTTTTATGGAAGGGAAATCTTTCATTCAAGCAGTACATTCCCATGAAGCGCGCGCGATTTGGAATAAAGCTGTTCAGCTTATGCGAAACCTCTGGCTATTTATGGAATTCCTTTGTTTACCTGGGTAAAGAACCAAACAGAAATGGTGATGACCCACAAATAGTACAGAGGCTTGGCAAAAGTGGTGCTGTTATCGTAAGGCTCATGGAAACTCTGCTAAACAAAGGCTACAGGCTGTATGTGGATAACTGGTACACCAGTCAAGCATTATTCAACTACTTGCATGAAAATGATACAGCTGCATGTGGAACTGCCCGAAAGAACCGCATCAAGCTCCCAAGAGCATTCACGGATGCTCCACTTGAAAAAGGGGAGCATAGTTTTCGAAGAAATGGTGACCTTCTGGCGGTACGATACAATGACAAGAAGGAAATATACTTCTTGTCTACCATTCACAAGGCAAATATGGTCAACACTGGCAGGCGGGATCGGCAGGGAAACCAAGTCAGGAAGCTGCAACTTGTCCACGATTACAACCGCTACATGGGAGGCGTTGACCATAATGATGAGATGCTTGCTAATTACATCTCAGTTCGAAAGAGCATGAAGTGGACAAAGAAAGTTGCTTTCCACTTCATTGAAGAAGCAATACTGAATGCATACCTCCTGAACAAGAAATCTGACAACAGGAAACGCTATCTCAAGTTCAAGTTGGATGCAATTTCAGCACTTCTTGCTTCAGGTGGTGCAAATGTTGCTGCCCCTGCTGCAACTGATCGCTACTCAGGGTGCCATTTTCCTGAATTGATACCTCACACCCCAATGAAACAGAATCCCCAAAAGAGGTGTGTGGTATGTACTCGAAACAAGAAGAGAAAGGAGTCCCGGTATCAATGTGGTGACTGTCCAGAGAGGCCAGGACTTTGTGCTGCACCATGCTTCAAGATCTACCATACTCAGCCTAACTATTGAAGCCAATAAACTTTGTTTTGTTATTGCAAAAAGGAGACATGCAGGAAACTGAAACTTGTTATTATTTTGGGACAAATGATCATCTAATTATAAATTCAATATGGCTGCTGGTCATGATTATATGGGAAAAAGAGACAAATCATTGACAAAAGTTAACTTTATTGAACTTTGTGGTTTTATGAGAACAATAACATTATAAGGGAGTACAAAGAAGAAATGAAATCTGTTATATAAGATGTTTTTGAAAATCATTTTTATCAAATTGTTTTTTTATTATAAATGCAACCACACTGGCATAGAGGTTGTAATAACCTAGCCAATAAAAATACATATTTGATGTATTGACTATTGTAGTGCAAGATTGATTACTAAAAAGAGTTATACAATGCCAAAGGGCTCAAATTGTTGAGTAAAATTATTTTATGAAAAATCCAATATGGCCGCTGGTTGCGAGGCATGCACCTGGGTTGGCATTCAAAGGGTTAAATTATCATAAGGATGGATGTGGAGGTAAAGATGTTGGAGATGAAGGTGGAGATGAAGATGACGGTGAAGGTGAGAAAGGAGGGAAATGGGAGCTCACGGGCTATGAGGATGGAAAATTATCACAGATACTCCTTCCCACCCGTTTATCAACTATTACCTCCTAAG